GACTAGCACCCAAGTATAACAGAGATAAGTACCAGGAGGTTTGCTCCATGGTTTGGAAGCTGGCCTCACATGCTAGAGGAAAAGGCAGCTCAGATAGAGAAGGGAACACCAGGTAAAATGTATTTGGAGGCCTGCTTGGGATGGGAGATGTGCGCTGAAAGTAGACTATAGATTAAAAACATGGCCACTTGATACCTCTATTGCAAACCACAATAACCAAAAGGAGAGAGAGAACAAAAGGGAATGCTCTGCCACAGAGGTGGGATGGGGCGTGGGAGGTTGGGGTAGTGGGGTGGGAGGGATACAGGGATCACCGGTGGTGGAGAATGGGCATTGGTGGAGGGATGGGTACTCGATCATTGTATGACTGAAACACAAGCAAAAAAGTTTGTAAGTCTGTAACTGTACCTCATGTTGTTTCACCAATAAAATTTTTTTAAATAGAGAAAATTAATAGTAATGATCTCCCAACACACGCAAGTCCCTTGGAATGTCTTCTGGCCTCATCTAACTGATAAGCAAATTTTAGCAATTACAATTATAATACATATAAAAGTTCATAATGTTGACTCATTAACCTTCTAGAAATTTCTATTAAAGAAAAAACATAAGAGCATTAATATCTAGCATTAAGAAACAAGTTAAATAAATTATAGCATTTTCAAATGATGCTAAATTATTACATAATCATTTTAAAATCTTTGAAGATAATAACATGGTAAATGTTATTATCATGGTAACAGGTTGTGCTATAACTGACTTTATAGTGTGATCAAATTTTGAAAAGTAAATTTATATTTTGGCATTTAAAATTTAAATTTGGGGGCTAGGGAGAGATAGTACAGCAGGAAAGGTGCTTACCTTGCATGTAGCTGACCTGGGTTGGATCTCAGCATCTCATATGGCCTCCTGAGCACCATGAGGAGTAATTCCTGAGTGCAAATCCAGGAATAGCCCCTGAGCATTGCCAGCTGTGGCCAAAACCAGAAAAGAATTTTATTTATATGTACTTTGAAGTTGTAGTTTCACAGATCACACAGATCACAGATCATCCTGTTATTTGTCGATTGCCTCGAGCAGGCCCCAGTAACGTCTCCTTCATCCTAGCCCTGAGATTATATTCAAGGCTCTTTAGGAGAATGAGACCCATCATTGTTACTGGTATTTGGCATATTGGGTACGCCACGGGGAGTTTGCCAGACTCTGCCGTGTGGGCAGGCTACATTCGGTAGCCTGCCAGTTTGTCAAAGTAGAAATGAGATGTCATAATAAGATGTCGCGCGGCCGCAAATGCAGCCGCGCGGTTCCGGGAGCTGGTTTTTATAGTCTCTGAGTCTTGGCCGCTGATGGGATTACACGGCGCCAGGGGGCCAGGCGTTGTAGTTTATTTACCAAATACTTTTTAGAGCTTCGATTCTCCTTTGAACAAATTATAGTCACTTGAAATGATCAACATCTATTTCTATATTGCAATGGAATATGTTAATGTGTGCAATATTTTCTCAATTATTAGAATACTAATTTAAACACATTCTTTGTACACAGAAGAATTTATGAAAATTCTAATTTTAATTAACTCTAATCTAATATTTTTTAATCAAAATATTAATGAAAATAACACATGGCTATTTTTCCTAATATGATTAACTAACAAGTCTCACAATGGAGATGTTACTGGGCCCGCTTGAGAAAATCGATGAACAATGGGAGGACAGTGAGAGTGACAGTGATTCATTACTTTATATTACATATTTTTAATGATTATACACTCTTCATTATCATGTATTTTGGAAGGAACATAGTATATATATCGTTAATGTCATATATATTTATATATGTGTGTTTATAAATATATTATGATCAATTGCTTAACTATTTTACCTATCTTCCATATACGCTCATTTTACTGCTATATTCAATGTAGAAATTTGGAAAACACATTTTAGAATTAACCACTTCATTTTGGTTTACTATTTACATTCTATTTTATGTATAAGGAAAATTCGCCCCCCACCCCGCAACAAGTCCTGCTGTGCTTACAGCAAGCCCACTGGAAGCAGGGTCTATGCTTCATTTGTATATTCCTACAGTACTTAATTTACTTTTAGTATATTGTAGACTACTCAGCAATTTACTAGTTGAATTGTAAAAAAAAAGTAAAGGCCCTCCTGTTGATCATCGATTTGCTCGAGTGGGCCCAGTAACGTCTCCATTGGAGACTTTGTTGTTACTGTGTCTGGCATATCGAATACATCACAGGGAGCTTGCCAGGCTCTGCCGTACAGGCGAGATACTCTCGGTAGCTTGCCGGGCTCTCCGAGAGGGGCGGAGGAATCGAACTCGGGTCGGCCATGTTGGCTGCATGCATGAAATAATCCAAATTCTTCCATCATAAGTTGCAAATTATATCTACTACTTAAGATAATAGATATCTACTCCCATGGTAATTTGCACGAAAACTCATCAATTATTCTCCCAACAGATATATTTTTAAAAATTTTTTATTAATGAATCACCGTGGGGTACAGTTACAAACTTACGAACTTTCATGTTTGCATTACAGTCATACAATGATCGTATACCCATCCGTCCACTAGTGCCTATTCTCCCCCACCAATTTTCCCAGCATCCCTCCCACCACCCCCACCCCGCCTCAGGGGCAGGGCATTCCCTTTTATTCTCTCTCCTTTTGGGTGCTGTGGTTTGCAGTAGAGGTACTGAGCAGCCATCGTGTTTGGTCTATAGTCTACTTTTGGCATGCATCTTTCAAGCCGGATGGGTCCTCCCAACATCCTTTACTTGGTGTTCCCTTCTCTCTCTGAGCTACCTTTTCCCACAGCATGTGAGGCCGGTTTCCAAGCCATGGAGCAGACCTCCTGTCCTTATCTCTGCTACTCATGGGTGTTAGTCTGCCATTCTGTTACTTTAAATTCCACAGATGAGTGCAATCTTTCTATGCCTGTCCCTCTCTTTCTGACTCATTTCACTTAACATGATACTTTCCATGTTGATCCACCTATATGCAAAGGTCATGACTTGATCTTTTCTAACAGCTGCATAGTATTCCATTGTGTAGTTGTACCAAAGTTCCTTTAGCCTGTCATCTTTTCTGGGGCCCTCGGGTTTTTTTCCCCAGATTTTGCCTATTGTAAACAATGCAGCAGTGAACAGACCAGTGCAGATGTCATTTCGACTATACTTTTTTGCCTCTCTGGTGGTATTGCTGGATCAAATGGGAGCTCAATTTCTAATTTTTTGAGAAGCGTCCATACTGTTTTCCAAAAGAGCTGAACCAGTTGGCATTCCCACCAGCAGTGAAGGAGAGTCCCTTTCTCCCCACATTCATGCCAACACTGGTTGCTTTTGTTCTTTCGGATGTGGGCCAGTATCTTGTTTTAGGTACTTCAAATGATATATAAAAGTTGTTCCTATTTCTAAGTGTTTGTAATCTAAGGGAATTCTGGCGTGGATTAAGAAGGTTTTTAAAAAGTGAGATGATAACTGTATCCACTGAAGCATGACTTTAAGTAGATACAATATTGGGTAATCTACTTATATGGAATTATTTTTTGTTTTGTTTTGGGAACACATCTACCTGTTCTCACGGATTACTCCTGGTGGTTCTCAGGGGACCATGTGTAGTGCCTGGGTTCAAACCTGGGTTGGCCGCATGCAAGGCAAGTGCTTTACTCTTTGTACCATCTGCTCTGGTCCCACACAAATTCCTTCCTTCTTCTCTCTCTCTCTCTCTCTCTCTCTTTCTCTCTCTCTCATCACCTTTAGATACACAATTACAAAGTTGTTTATGACTGGGTTTTAGAAATACAATATTCCAGCACCTGTCCCTTCACCAGTGTACATTTTCAACTACCAATTTCCCCAGTTCCCTCTTTTCACTCCCCCAGCCTGCCTCTATATCAGACATCTTTCTCCCTCACCCTCTCACTCTCACTCTCCTCCCTTTGACTAGCTCTCGCTCTCTTTTTCCTTTTGAGAACTGTGGTTAGCAATACAGGTACTGAAAGGTTTCATGAATTCTTATAACACAACTTTGAGTGAGATTTTCAACTGCATTATTCAAGTGTGGAGATGAAAGTTTAGATAAATTATCCAGTGTTTCAAAGTTCACAGATTTAGTGGCAGAGCTGGGATTTAAAACCTGGAACTTCTGGGGCTCACCCCAAAGATTGTTTTCACTCCCAAAATAAACAGTTCCCCAAAAAAGTGTGTCCACTATACTATCTTTCAATTTATTTATTTAAATCACCTTGAAATTACAATTACCATGCTTTTTTCTTCATCTTCCTCCTCCTCTTCTCTTTCTCTTCTTCCTCCTCTTCCTCTTCCCCATCCTCCTCTTCTTCCTCTCTCTTCCTCCTCCTCCTCATTACCTCTTCCTCTTCCTCCTCCTCCATCTCTTCTTCTTATTATTATTTTTCTTTCTCCTCCTTCTCCTCTTCCACCTTCTCCTCCTCCTCCTTCTCCTCCTCCTACTCCTACTCCTCCTCCTCCTCCTCCTCCTCCTCCTCCTCCTCCTCCTCTTCTGTCTCCTCCGCCTCCTCCTCTCTTTTTAGACATTATGGTTTGCAATGCAGCATACCATCTCAATTGCCCATAAAGTTTTAGTTTTTCCTTGAATGTTACCAACTACTTAAACCAGCAACTATAGAGTACAAAGGTTTTTATGGAGGGAAAGAAAAGAGGAGAGACTGAAGTGGAGAGCAGGGAGTTCATACTAAACTAAAGGATTTTGGAGATGGAAAGTGCACCTGCTAAGAATTTTTGAAAAAAAGGTCTTCCCTCATTTCTCACTTTAGAGCTGTTCAGAAACAGAACTCTAAACGCCGTCTACATTCTCCCACTGTCCCACAATTAAAACAACTTTTCCTGCTCATTTAACTTAGATACTGGGTTTGGGGCCAGTGAGGAGCAAGGGTAGGGCATTAGGACCCAGCGATTGTTGTAGTGAGAGAGGTTGAATCTCGATCTCTCAATTTTTCTCTCTAGCTCCCTCCTCTCCCTTTGTCATTCTAGCTGCTGGCTGCCTCCGCAGCGTCCTTCTCCCTTCTCTTATCCCTCTTTCTTCTTCTGCACTATTTGCTTGCGACTCAGACAGAGTGCGCAAAGCAGAAGGATTACTTGGGACCTGCCTTGGTGACCCATGGCATCCCCCAGAACCGTAACTGTCGTGGTCCTCTCTGTGGCCCTGGGACTCTTCTTTGTTTTCATGGGAACTATCAAGTTGACCCCCAGACTCAGCAAGGATGCCTACACTGAGATGGTAAGTGAATCCGTCGAGTGATGAGGAGCGCATCCCGCAAGGGACTGCAAGTACCTCTCCCCTTCTTTCCTCTCAGCCCACAGTCCCGTACCTTTAACCCTTACCCCACCCGGACTTTCCCTTCGCACCAACAACTTTGCGGCTCTGAAGGAGCAGCTGGGCAAGAAAAATTTTGTTTGTGGTTTATGCCGGGAATAACTGTTTGGGAGCGCAAAATGCCAGTTGGGGGAGGGGTTACTAGTGAGTACCCCAAGGGCCATCCGCCAGGTAACCCAGAAGGCTGATACCTGCGCGACACCTGTCATTGGCAGGAACCCTTTCCACTTGCTTATGAGCACAAGGAAAGTCTGGGCAACCAGTCCGAAAGTCTGATTGTTTCCCATGGAGCTAAGAGTTTAGCAAACTGGAGAGTTTATTTTGGGGAGAACAAAGACGAAAAGAGCTGAGGGAGGTCGGACCTCTACAATGAGCAGTTTTAAAGGGTGGGAAAGATATTCCTCATCTCAGGTAGAGACTTCCCCCAGAAGACTGAGGCTTGCTCAGTCTCCTTGGGACAAAGCAGTACTTGCCCAAATAAAGGTCACCTAGCGCTTGCTATCTCCTCCTAATGGAGAGCTGGGTGTTTTGTTTTGTTTTATTTATTTTGTAGGCTAATCTGCCATAACAGCAAGGTCTCCCTTTTCTCTCTCAAGAAATTGTCTGTAATCCCCACCTTCCCTCCTGTTGATGCTAGAGCCAAGCCCTCTGCAGGTTTTTTCCTCTGCAGAATTGGAATCAATGAAGGTGACTGGCCAAAATATCTCTGCAACCTGGGGGCTGGGCTGCTCTTCCCATGGGTGTGAAGAGGATTTGCTCTTATGCTGTAGAGTACTAGATGTCTGGATGTTTCTAGCACTTTCTGTCTCTTGTCTCCTCTCCTCTCTTTACCTTTTCACACCTCCCCCCTCTACCCCAGCTGAAGGAACCTACTTCTCACCACCTTTGCCAGACGCTAGTTATAGGAGGTAGCACATTTCTGGGCTTTCAAGGTCAAGAAGGAAAGGAGCTTAGGGAAATATGAAGAAGGGAGAGAGGAAATAGACAAGAGAGACTCCAAGTAGGGCTGAGGCAAGGAGAAATTAATTTATACATGTTGACAAGAATCGATAGCTCTTCTGAGGGCACTGCAGACCCTTCCAGAGTACCTCAAAATGAGTTGTAAATGGATGGAGATGGCAAATTTTAGTTGCTTAGAAAATGTTTTTGGAAGCTCTGATTACTGTTTCAGGGTTTGAGCTGGTGTTTTCCATGTCTCTCACACCACAGAATAACCCTGGGGTGGAGGAGGGTGGCTGGGCTTCAAGGACCAGGTTCAGTGATAAATCCTAACATGTTTCTCCTTGTCCCATTCCTCTTCCCAGACTATATGATCAGATAGAATTAAAATCGGGTCAAAATGAGTATATGAGGCAGCTTGCATTAAGGATGGGAGAGGAGGTGGGGTAGCAAAAACCACCAAAGGGTTTGAAAAGGTTAGAGGCAGAGGAACTAGATGGAGGGAAAATCCTACCAAATTTTTGTCTTGGTGACAACAGTTTTGTGTTAGATTATAAATTAATGAATGCATTTTTGCTTTTATTTTTGCATACAAAAATTTGTACATATATACATATTAAATTTTTAGATTTCTCTTTCCTTAAGGACATAGTACCTTTTTTAAAATATGTTCCCACCCCTAGAGCCTGTGCAGTTGCATTAGAAGCCCCCAAGCTACACCCTAAGTAGTGTTAGACTCTGCAGGCAATCCAACTAAGATGGAGTCACTGGGAAGCTTCCTACCAGCTAGGTCGCAGAATATAGGAAGGACTAGCCAAAGTGGGATTATAGTAGGCTTCTTCCTAGGGAATAAACTGTCTACTGCAGTCCAGTTAAAGACAGATGAAACAAATAGAAATATTTCATGTCATACAAAGGGACATATTTAAATAGTGAAATCTGGATAGCAGCCCAGTCCCCACTCTGTGTGTGTGTGTGTGTGTGTGTGTGTGTGTGTGTGTAGCACAATTTTATGCTTCTGTGGTCAGGGGTAGCAAGAAGAAATGGAAGAACTCTTATCTAGCTAGGAGGCAGACTACGCAGTAGTATGTAGCTTCAGAAGAATTTCAGACTGCCCTTTTCCTGGGTCTTCTCTATTTAGCACTGGAATAATGCTGGAGATCTGGCAGGGACCACTGCCAAGGGCCTAGGCTGGTCCAGCTTAATTTTTAAACTCAGCAAATGGGGAAAATTTAATTCTAGTACAAATAATGGATGGGTGAATGAATGAGTCATTATAGAATTGTCTTGTCTGGTTACCACTCTTCAGATTTTTCTGATGAGCTCATGCTTATACAGTTCAGCAGCCATTTCTTGTGTCTCAGAAGGGGATTACGGCCTTTCAGGACCCCTACCTCAGTTGGGATGACTAATTGCCTGGGATTTTCTTTTCCATTTAGAAACGATTTCTTTGCATTGATAGTGTTTGTCACGTATTGACTACAGAGGTTTTCCTTATATGATACCAAAGTGCTGTTGCTATCATTGTTTTAAGATAATTTGTTCTTTAAAGCATCTGTGAAGTTGATTCATTTCAGTTTTGTTCTTATTTTGCAATGGATAAACTGAAGCAGTGCAAGTTTATTAAAAACTTAACCAAAATTGTAGAATGAGTTTTTGTTGGAACAGAGATTTTAAAAAACCAAGTCCGTGACTCAATACTTTTAGCAGAGGAGATAATATTATTACAATTGCTTTGGGGATGGTGTCAGAACAACTGAATCTTGATAAAATCTAGTATATTCTTGTGCTTTCTTAGTTGTATAAGTTAAACTGCTTCTATTCAGTTTGTGAGATTTCATTTTACTTTGAAACCAATATTTCAAACTTAGATTTCTTTTTTTACTTTTCTATCAATTATTTTTTCTAAAACCAATATTTTTATACACAGAAACTTTCCCTTCCATGGGAAATCCCTATGGTTTATACCAAAAAAGCAAACAAATAATTATGAAATTCTTTCTTCTCTCTACTAGAGAATCCAGGAAAGGTTAACAGAAAGACTACAGGCTTTGAGTCATGTGTTGATTTGGGTTAGAGTTTGCCATTTTCAGTGTCTCAGTTTTTTCCAACTGTAAAGTGTAGATAACAGCACCTGCCTTATAGGTTGCTGTAAATATTAACACATAAAAGTTGTAGGTACAATGTTTGTGTAGTGTCAGTGAGGTGATGACAATTGATTCTGTTTTACACAATGATTCCATGACTCATTTGAATGGTAATTTGAAGGCATTGAAATCAGGCATTTCAACAGTGCAGTGCTATTTTCATGTGCCCTGGTGAAGAGACACAAAAACCTCCACACTTGTGCTGGGTAATGCCTAGTGGATCCCATGCAGGAACAGAATTTTGGTCACAATGTTGTTATAGAGTACTCTAGATCCCCACGTGAATTTAACATGATGTCCTACTCTCTTGCCTAAATGTATTCATTAACTCACTAGAAATTTGGAGACAGCACTAATATATTCTGTTCAGCAGTTTCCTATGCAGTGACAGGGAACATATGTATGGTTGATTTGCATACTTCTGGTATCCAGTTCATGTAAGCAGTGACTCCAGCCTGTAAGCACAAGCAGCACATAGGCAATTCATTATAATAGCTAACCAAGGAATTTTGGCCCTGCATATGATAGGGACGGTATTTCTTTGCATTACTTCATAGAATATGTCAATTTGACTGATTTATTTATCTATATTAAATAGCCTCCTTTTTTGTGTAACCCTCAGAAAGCACTCCAGATATTGGGTAGTTTACTCACTGTCCACAGGTCATTTTAATGTTTCAAAATCACTGCTATTAATTACTTACCAGCACATGCTAAGTAATTCATTGATGTTTAGACTGCCCTCTAAGGTAACTGCAGAGAGAAAACTGATTTATCCCAGAGAGGAAACTGATACAAAAGCATAATTGGTTAGCTCACATAGCTAGTCATCTCAACTTAACATACATTGGAGCTTATACAAGAAAGCTTGTAATTTCTCAGTGGTCAACATTTGTATTTGTTTCAGAGGGGCATTTCCTTGACAGAAATCAGTGTAATAATGGTATAGGTGTCCAATTTGGTAAGTGGAACCAGGTTTTCCAGCTTTCTCTTTAGGTAAGCAGTGGAATGAAGAAATGCTTAAAGGGTGTTTATTCGGGTGGGTATTTGAAAATGAACATCTGATTGTGGTTTTTTTATTCAAGAAATGATCTATGATTGATATGTAATTTTAATGTACAAAATTAAGAAAATTATACACGATTTAGTAAATTTTGCAACAATTATGTATGCTTTATCAACAAGAACAACAATCAGGTGAAACTTTCAGCCGAAATATTTTTTATTGGTGCCTCTTCTGCTTTCATGTAATTTTTCTCTATGTTTTTATTGAACAGTCATAACTATAACATACACATTGACACAGGTACATGGGGAATTTTCAGGACACTATTGTGAAATCAGCACCCATGTTTTATAAAACAGAACGTGGTCATCACTCCAGAAACTGTCCTCATGAGTTCTTCCAATTACTATCTCCCCAAATATAATTCTTTTTTAAAAAGTGCACAGGGATAATGGGATTTATTTATTTATTTATTTATTTATTTGCTTTTTGGGGTCACACCCGGCAATGCACAGGGGTTACTCCTGGCTCTGCGTTCAGGAATTACCCCCTGGCGGTGCTCAGGGGACCATATGGGATGCTGGGAATCAAACCCAGGTCGGCCGCGTGCCAGGCAAACGCCATACCCGCTGTGCTATTGCTCCAGCCCCCCAAATATAATTCTTATTTTGTTGTAGTTTTCCCCCCACACCAAGGTGCTCAGGGTTTACTCCAAGCTCTGCTGTCTGACAGGGTTTGGGATTCCATATGCAATGCCAGGGATCGAACCACATTTAGCCATGTGCAAGGCAAGCACCCTACCCCCTGTACTATCACTCTGGCACTCCAAGAATATTTTTTCCTTGACTTCTCACAATGTAAGTTAGCTTTCCCTGGTTTTGTATTTTATATAAATTAAATTATATATTAACCAAATAATTTTTGGATCAAATTGGCATAAATACAGAATTCATACATGAAACGAACTACTTTCCATCCATTTCCAGATTGTGTTTGTACCTGGCTTAGGTCAGTTATTTATTGTAATGAAATTAGTATTATTAGACAGTCTTGAGCTGCTTTAGTTTAAAATAATATTCTATGAGATCATGGGCCCTGAGGTGTTGTGAAGAAAGAAATGACAAGAAATAAAACGTTATATGACTAAAGAAAACTCCCTATGCTTTTGACTCATTTATGAATCATATCTCCTTATACTGTAAGATAGAACCTGTTTGAATCATTGTTACTACCATTAAAACAATTATTGAGGCTTGCTAATTAACTTGTAATTGTGTGGTTTATTAATGATAAAATGTATTTGGTGATATGATTCTTTGACTAAATATTCAAAGAGTTCATTTAGTTTACAAGAGAGGAAACTGAGGAACAATAAAATGCTTAGTAATTTTCTCCACGCAATTTAGAGGTAAAGCTAAAATTGAAATTTTGCTTTAGAACCACAGCCTAGGGGCTAGAGGGATACCCAAAGGGCTGAACACATACTTTGCCTGTGGGAGAACAGAGCTAGGCATGGTCACAGATGTCCAGATGTGCACCCCCCATTCTGCCACACACACACACACACACACACAAACACACACAAAATAGAAGTACAGCCTAAGAGTATTGCTGGATAATTGACTCTGCTGAAGGAATTTTAAATATTTGACTAGCCTTCTCTTCCATGCTTTCATCCCTGTGTGGAAATTATGGTTATAGTGCCTGGGTCACTGAAATGGAAAAGAAGCATCAACATGAATTATAAGTGTCTTTTTTGAGAGTGTGTCAGTCAACTCTCTTTATTATTACTATCAGCACAATTAGTCTTTAGAGATCTAGTTATCATAGATTCAATGTTTTTAAAAATGAGGCCAAACATTAATGTAGTGGCAATAGCAGGATTTAAAATTTTTTTGATGTCTTACCTTATTCTATAGGGAAAAGAATAAAAGGCATCCTATTAATGACAAACCCCATCCAAGCTTAATCCCATCTCTAACAAATGAAACATTACCTGTATTGGATCCTAAAGAAAAGAATGCTGTTTGTACCTACTCAGCTTTGAACTAAGGATTTGATGAAAAGTTTAATTCATAATCCAAGTTCCTCTTGAGAAAAGGAAGAGGTAACAGCTATACAAAATTATTTACATCTGTAGTTTAAGAGGTTAGGTAAAAAATGAAAACAGTGTGGGGCTGAAGAGATACCCCAGCAGGTAAGGCACTTGCCTTGCACTCAGACCATGCATGTGAGTTTGATCCCCAGCACTGCCAGGTGTGGTCCTAAAACAAACAAACAAACAAACAAAAAGTAATATGGAATTACACCAAATGGAGAGAAAAAGAAGATTCACAATTTTAAAATTTTAATTGCGGTAACCTGTTTCCAATAGTGTTACCATTTATGTTTTTGTTGTACAAACCTATTATATCTCCATCACCACTGAAATGCCGAAGATCTGTCAATACTGTCCTTATGGCACTTCTAGTCTTCCCCCGGTGTTTTTTTCTCTCATTGCCTGTTAATCTCAGTTCTGTAGTCAAAGTCCAAGGATTTGTTATTATTTAATACTTTCCATTAATTTTCTTGACTTATTTCTTTGCACACCATATCACTTTGACTTATTTTACTGAACAAGATACCCCCTAGTTCTGTTCACATTACAACAAATGACAAGATTTTGTCTTTTCTTGCAGCGGAATGGTACTTCATTGTGTATACAACATTCCACTGTGTATACAACTTACTTATCCTCTAATCTGTCACTGGGCATTTGACTTGCTTCTATATATTGGCTATTGTAACTAGTGATACGATGAACACAGGTGTGCACATATATTTTAGAATTAATGTTTTCTGTTGTTTGGATAGGTGACAAGGAGTGAAATTTCTGGACACGTGGACACTCTGTTGTTAATTTGTTGAGTGATCTCAATACTGTTTTCCACAGAAGCTGAACCAGAGGAAAGTTATGCCAACAATAAATGAGGATACCCTTTTCAGCACATCCCTGCCAACACTGGTTGTTTCCAGTTTGTTTTTATTTTTCAATGGATGCCATTTCCACTGATGTGAAGGGATAATGCATTGTCTTTTATTAGCAATTTCCTGTTGCTCAGTTATAATAAACACTTCATACACTTATTGGCCATTTGTACATACCTTTGTGATTCTTAATTCATAGGATACTCAATTCTTAGAGCCTCTTGGGAGACTTCGTATTACTAATTAGAGAGTATTTACTTGAAAAGGTTAAAGAATCCTCTTGGGTCTAGATTTTATTTTACTACTGTCACCCTGCTACCTTCATCAGAGCACAGAGAAAAACAGTACATGTGGTACCTAAATTAATGTGAGGGGAAACAGGCAGGATTCTCCCCAACCACCAAGGGTGCCCTGACCCATGGACATGTTCTGTTCCAGGTGGATCTGTTCAGTTTAGCCCAGGATTTTATTCTGTGTACTGTTTAACCTCTCCCTTAATTTTCTCTTGGAAAATCTCCGAATAACACAAGAGAAGAAGAACAGCAAATACTAATATTTTCTTATGTACCTAGGATCAGGGCAATGACTAGGGTGAAGTAATTTTTAATAAAGGCAGGATTTAATGGGGCAAGGATGAGAAATAGGTGACTAAGGCAGAGTCATGCACACGCAGAGTCAGACACAGCCTTTACTTAAATTTTTGCTATCGTATTGGTCACAGATATTACAGTCCTTGACCAATGCGTGTTTTGGATGCCCTTTAAAATTTTTTATCCTTGGGCTAGAGAGATTGCTCAACAGATTGGAGTGTTTTCATATGAAACTCTGCACACAGGAGGCACAGGTTTGATCCTCAGCACCTCATGGTCCCCCAAGCACTGCTATAAGCCTCCAAGTAACCATCTAACACCAGACTAGGAATAGCCTCTGAACACATCAAGTTATAGCCCACCCCCACCCCACCTCCCACCCCCTGCCAAAAAATTTCCTACCAAAAGTGAACCACTACTTAAACTTTGTGACCAAGGCAAATAGCACCACTCACTTCATCTTAGTCTTTGTTTTGCTCAGGAAAATGAGGGAAAGAGATATCAAATAATTTTCCCATAAGTGCCCAGATAGAAAGTGTCAGAGATGGAAATTGGAGTCGTCTGTTTGAATCCAGACCCAACATTTTTTCACAAAACTTCTGTCTCTTAACTGTTCTTTTAATTACTTGTTGTTTTTAAAACTGTTCTAAAAGAGAATTATCTCCTGTTAATCTGTGAAATAAAGGTGCATTCATTTCTCCAGAAGTCATAGAAATGACCTAATATATGTTCTAAACTTACATAGAGCATATGAAGACTATTCTAAGTACCAGATATTTCAAGAAGTCAAGTTGATTTGCTGCCTAGTTCGTTTTTGTTTCTTTGCTTGCTTTTGAAAATGCATTGCAGTACTCAGGGCTTACTCTTGGCTCTGTGTTCAGGAGTGACTCCTGGTAGTGCCTGGAGAACACAGTAAAAAAATGGGACATCCTTGCCTAGTTTGATAAGACAATAGTGGAAAAGCAGAACCTCGCTTTTGTTTTGTTCATTCTCATGCAAAAGTCATGGTTAATTATATGATTTCCTTATATTATTTCACTCTAGAAACGTGCTTACAAGAGCTATGTTAGAGCTCTTCCTGTGCTAAGGAAGATGGGAATCAACTCCATTCTCCTCCGCAAAACCTTCGGTACCCTTGAAGTGGCCTGTGGCATCGTCATGACCCTTGTGCCTGGGCGTCCCAAAGACGTGGCCAACTTCATCCTACTCTTGCTGGTGTTGGCTATGCTCTTCTTCCATCAGCTGGTCGGTGATCCTTTCAAGCGCTATGCCCATGCCCTGGTGTTTGGAATCCTGCTTACCTGTCGCCTGATGATTGCTCGTAAACCTGAAGAACCACCTTCGGAGAGGAAGCCCCCACAGGGGAAAGCTGGCAAAGCTGAGGATCAGCCCGACTTGTATGAGAAGGCCCCCCAGGGAAAAATGAAGTTGTCATAGTAATGCAGAAGTGCAAAGAAAGTGCGAAAAGTGGACCCTCCAGACAGTTGCCTCTATGATATCCAGGAAGATGTCAGTGTGTATTTTTCAATTGATGTATTTATCTTGGGGGAAAAGGGAAAATGTAACTTGCAAGTTAATGGCACTTTGGCTTGTGTATACCTATACTCTGAAATGACCATCTCACTTACACCTACACATGCACCAACTTTAATCACTTTGGAGCAACTCGCATCTTGCTGCATGTACATGTATATGGCTAACTATTGAAGTGTTTTTGTAAGATGGACTCCAGCAAGGATGTGATTCTGAGATTATACATGGGAAAATGTATTTATTGTATGTGTGTTTGTGCCCATGTTCACATAACACACATGCACATGTGGAGTGAAAGGCTCTGATTTGAACTAATTCTGCATAGATATCCTTCCCTTCCTTAGCAAAGGCAGAATAAAATAAATGTTCTGTAAAGAGAATCTTCTTCCTTCTGGAATAAAGCAAGTAATATATTCATGTAGGGTGAAGAAGTCATTCAACAGATTAGGCTGAAAACTAAAACATACCACTTTAGAAAACAGTTCCTTCAGTTGATATCCTAAATTACATATAAAATGGATTAGACTCAAATTTAACAGTTGTTTGAATTTTAAAAATTTTACAGTGAATTAAAAAAACAAACAATAGCTATTATAATTACCTATTGATTGCATAGATGATCTAGATGATCTGTGTAATCAATAGATGACATAATTTTTCAAGTGGTGAAATGGGAAGTTTCACTTTGCCTTTGTCCAAACCCAACCTACTAAGATTTGGCAATTGTTTCACTTTTGAGGTTGAGGGAGTAGGTATTAATCTGATAGAAATCTGTGAATCAAACTCTATTTCTCTTAAATTATCTAAAATTTGGCAGAGGAGTTATAGTCAGTGTTTTCTTCACAAACAGATTCACTACTCCTAATTTACTGTTACTGAACTTTATTAATCTAAGCAAAGAAACAAGATACCCCCAGGGTTGTCTCCTCTACACTTATTTTTTTCTTGTGGATGGAGTTTAAGTGAGGGAAGGACATTTGAGATGGGTCCGTTGGATTGAGCAGTATGGAAATTGCTTTCTTCATTGCATACTGCTTTTTCTTCTTGTTAGATATGCTTTACCGGTTTTAACGTTATTGTGTCAGGGATGGGGAAAAGGGTGGGGGGGTTAAATGTGTGTGGGGAGTACAAATTATTGTATTTTCTTCAATGTCATTGTTGTTAACTGATATTTGCTGTGTTATTTATGTCATTCTTTCAAAATAAAGATTTTTGAAATTTGGAGGAAACCACACAAATAATGAAAATTTGGAAGCAAGAGGACATATTGAGGGATTCAGACTCTTTCTGAGTAGCTAAAAGGGAAGAAAGACAAGGAAGGGATATGACCACTTAATGTAGTAATGAGGCTACTGATTTCTAGCATTACTAAAGTTCACTCACACTTCTGGGATGCCAACACATATGACAGAAAAAAGCCATGGAATTAGGATCTCAGTGCAATTTCCAGAGTTTGGGAGCTCTTCATTAGGTAATACCAAAGGAAGGTGGGAAAATAACTTCAGAAAACATTGCAGGCATATTAAGCAAAGGTGAAGCTTAATCTCAGTACATAGATCTATCTCCAAAGTGGTGCAAGTTCCATGTCACACAATTTGTCACATTAGGCAAGTCACTTCACCACTAATTACAGTTTCATCATTTATCAAAAAGGGTGCTATATAGGAAGCTCAATAGCCAATACGGCGCTATTGGGAAGGACGAGTAAGGAGAGGCTGCTAAAATCTCAGGGCTGGGAGAAACGAAGGCATTACTGGAGCCTGCGTGAGCAAATTGATGAACAACAGGATGACAGTGATAGTGATCAAAAAGGGTAGATGAAGATTAAAAATCCTCTGCAATGTACATTTGAATTCATGAAATAATTAAAAGTACAAAAAGACATTTTGATTTTAATAAAGAGCAGTTATCATAGAAAGTATGCAGCACTCAATTATCAAGTTAAAGTAATCTAAAAATCACATAGGATATAGGATATAACATTCTGCTGGAATATTTCCCAATGGCATTAACTTAGATTGTCCATTTATCCTTCACATTGCAAAGCTTTCACCTACAGTTTTGCCATTTTCATATTTTAAAGTTATAACCTCGAAAAATTAGTGAGAGCTGTTAAGTTTGTATCTTTTCTCTCTGATCTCTGTTCTAGTAATTGATTAAAGTAGGAACTAAGTAAAGCTCAGATCTCAGACTAAGCCCTTGCCAATGTTTTAGCATACTGAACTTACTTGCCTTTTCAAAAAATAATCACTCAGCAACCCCCTGGAAATGGACTTTCTTTGTTTAAGCAAACAAATAGAAAGCTCCCCTCCCCCTATTGCACTGTGGGCTCCTATCTCCTCCTCCACCAATATTTCCTGCGGGCTCCCTCCATCTTTGAGAAACACTGTTACAGCCACCAAGTTAAGGTCCGTGGATTCCTTCAAAGTTAGGCATCTAAACATAATGCTTGGTCGGCTATCTGCAAGCCATCACATCTGTCTGAGGACGCGTTTCTAGGAAAGTGCAAGTTCTGAGGGGCGCTTCTCGATAAAAAATAGGGCTGAGCCCAGTACTCAGAGCTGTCGCTTCCTTATCTGCGCTGGGAGAAAGTGAAAGCTTCAGACTGCGTCAGTCTTTGGCCCCTCTTGGGAGAGGCAGCTATCACCGAGAAGTTTGCAGTTCACCATTTTTCTACGAAGTCCTGACACGTGGAACCAATCCGCGTCCAAGGATCGCTGTAACTGATTCAATCCAAAAATCGAGACGCTAATTGTCCCGCTTTCTGCACTCCGACGGAAGGGAGCCCTGGTAGAGTCAGAGGAAGCCTGCCCAATCAGAAGGTTCCAACAACAATGGTCCACGGGGCGGGGCGGTGGAGCCCGGCGGCTCCCGGGGTTTAGCGTCAGCGCGCGCGCGCTCCCGGCGCCCGTAGGTGTAACCCAACCAATTAGGCGTCAGCAGAACTCGTCGTTCCGTTAAGCCGACGGCTGGGCCTTCTGGAGGCGCATGCGCGGGGCGGAGCCCGCGTATTTGAATCGGGAAGCGCCGTTCAGACTTCGGAAACTTCGGAAACTTCGGGACCGAACCCCCTTTTTTTCGGTGAGGTACTTTTAAATACCGCGCGAAAGGTGGGGGGACCCGATGTTACAGCGGAATCACTTTTATTTCCGAGCAGGTTTGTTCTCAAGTTCTGATTGGGATCGGGTTTTTCCCCCAAGTCCGGGGATCCGCCTAACCTTCACGGCCGCCTTTGCTCGCGAGGGCTTTTTTAGAAAGGGGGATCTTGGAAAGGGTCTGGTGGTTCTGTCCGATAGGCTTAAACGCCCCTAAAGTGCCTTTCTTTTGTAGAACTACTTGAAACTTGGAACTTCGCCCTGGATTGAACGTATATTCTGATTTCCTTCTCTGACCCCAAGCCGTTACAGGCAGTTGGGATTGGGCATAACAGTCACTCTGACCGTTCTCTTAGTTTTCTCCCATTTAAAGCCAAAAACGTGAAAATTGTGCCGGGTCCTCCTATTTCCTTTTCCCTACATAAGATTTTTTTTTTCTGGGCGGGCCACTTACCTAAGGTGCTTGTTGGGGAAACCACCAGTGGAGAAATTCTGGACCCCCGAAAACAAAGGATTCCCTTCAGCCAGTTTTTTTTTTCTCACGGCCTTACGTAATTTAATTCCAAAACGTATTTCACGAAAGCAGTCATTTTCTATTTCTACAGTTGTACCTTAGGTCAAGGTTAGACTATAGTCGTTTCACTTTCAGACTTCAGCAAGACATTTTTCTCCGGTTTGTTTACATTATCTGAGCCCGTTTCCATTTCCCACACGACAGCAAAAAAGGCCTTGAAACATAAATGATGCTATTTCACCTTACTCTGGTCTGCATGTTTCCAAAGAATCTAGTTCAAGGGCTCCTGTCTGATAACATTTCCCACTATCATCTCCCTCTTCCATACCACTGTTCCATCACATTGGTGATGTTGTCGTTTCTCTGCAAGTCTTGCTCTTCCCTCTCCATTAACAATTCTTTCACAGATCTTCAAGTACTGGATTCCTTCGTGGCATTCATACACACACATCTTAGTTGAAAGGTTCCCAGAGAGGTTTTTAAGCCAGTGTGGCTTGTCATCCCCATCTCATTTCTGTCACATCCTTGTGTATTAAATTCATTGTTTATTATTTGCTTTATTTTTGTTTGGGGACCACACCCTTCAGTGCTCAGTGGTACTTCTGGCTCTGTGCTGAGGGATCACTCCTGCCAGGCTCTGGGGACCACATGGAATACTGTGGATTGAACCCAGGTGGGCCGTGTGCAAGGCAAATGCCCTACCCTCTTTACCATCGATTTGTCCCCTATTTATGTTTTTATTGACTCCCAAATTCCATCCCTATGAGCTTTATGAGAGCAGAAGGTTTGGCTGCTCTTATTTTATCCCTGGTAACTAGAACTGTGGTTGGCATATAGATGATCGCTAGGAATTATTTACTGAACATATATAATTTTATTAATAGGTGTTGTTTATGTCCTGATAATCCGTAGTGTGGCCACTTTTTTCACTTTTGAACAAAGCAGCTTAACTTAGTACTAATAGCAAAAGAGTGTACAAACAAAATAAAAGAGCTGTAAAGAAAAAATAGTAGTGGAGAAACTAATATGGAGTTCATGAGCTCAATTTGGTTTTGGAATTGTTTATATGGCAGGCATTTTAAGAAAATTTGCTATCTTGTTTTTACTGTTTTTTTTTTCTCACAAGAAAGAGAGTTCAGCTGGCGAATGTGATCTTGGATAACTTTCTCAATTCCAATTTAGGTAAAGGGTATCTGAGAAATTTTTTTCCAATAGGTTTTGTTTCCTGTTTGTTTTTTTTTATTTGTTTTGGGGGGGCCACACCTGGCAGTGCTCAGGGCTTACTCCTGGCTCTGTACCCAGGGTTCACTGGGGTGCCAGGGATCAAACCCAGGTCAGCTGCATGCAAGTTAAGCACCTTATATCTCTGTCCCTTTTTTTTAAAAAAAAATTATTAGTGAAACACCATGAGGTACAGTTGTAGACTTACAATTTTTTGTACTTGGGTTTCAGTTATACAATGATCGAGTACCCATCCCTCCACTAGTGCCCATTCTCCACCACTGATGATCCCAGTATCCCTCCCACCTCCCAATCCCCCCATCCCACCCCTCCTCTGTGGCAGGGCATTCCCTTTTGTTATTTCTCTCCTTTTGGGTGTTGTGGTTTGCAAAAGAGGCATTGTATCTCTGGGCCTTTTTAATTGAGTGTTTGTTATATGCTAGATAGTGAGTACTGAATGTTGGGAATATAGGTAAGTATGCTACCTGTCTTTGTGGAGTGAAAAGAAACTAGTTGGCTGATTAATGGTACCTTGATACTTGTTTCTGTATAGAACATATGCAGTAATGTCATTACAAAGGAAAATTAAGACGACTCGGGCACGAGACAGGACTTCACAATTTTGTTATCAGAATAATCTCTTGACCTCTAAAGTAAAAGAAGAACAAAATGACTCAAAGGACATTTCAGAACATGAACAAAGCGGATCAGATGATTCTGAACAAACTGAGGAGCAAATAGAAGAGGACTTTCAAATAGCAGTGAAATACTTTGAGAAAGGTAAGACATGATTATCTTTATGAGACTTCTGTTTCTATAAACATTCTAGATGTTTTTTTCTTAACATTTTCAAGGGAAAACATTTTTGTTCATTTACACATTTGTTTCATAGACTTTGGGTGGGGGCTTCCAACTGGTTCTCAGGATGTCTGGGGTTCACCTGGTGATTTCTTAGTCAGCCAGACCAGGGTTCAATGCAAGGGCTCGAGGAGATGCTGCTGCTCTGAGCCCTGTTGTGTGTGAGGTACCTGGACCACCCCAGTGGTGCTGAGGGTCTCCAGGGCCATACTCAGCAGTGCCTCCAGGACCTGCACTCACTGATGCTTGGGGGACCATTCCCCATCTGACCTGGAGAATTGAACCCAGGTCAGATGCATTCTAGGTATGCACTATTGAAATATTTCCTTGGCTCCTATTTAACAGGCATTTATTAAGCAGTTATTACATATTAGGATGATAGCTATTAGGTATATAACAAAGCAGAGTGTTTTTCAAACTATTGTGTATTGGTAGTACCCGAGAATCTTTTAAAAATGATGCCTGGAATCAACTCTTGGACGTTCAGATTTTATTTCCACTTGAACATCTGGATTTTTAATGGCTCTTTTGGTAATCCCAGCGTGTGGTAAAATTTGGGACTTACGGCTCTAGTACTTTTTTCCCCTATTTTTTAAATGGAAATTTCCTTGATTTCTTAACAGAGAGGCATAGGGCCCCTCTGTGGGTCCTCAGGATATTCCAAGGGCGTCACAGGTGATAAAATTGCATAAATGGGAGGCCGAGACGTGTTTAGAAGGGGAGTTAGAGATTGGCAGAATGTTGAGAAACACTGATTTATAGTGTATCAGTTGCAATTGCACAGTGTTTTACTCCCATATCTATGTAGATAGCATTGTCATGACCACCAAAAGTTTAGCTTGTGTCCACCATCATACAGTTAATTCCCTTTATCTGTTTTATCCACTCCCTCTATTCCCTTTCCTTTATAACTACCATTCTGTAGTCAGACTCTAAGATCTATTGCCCTAATATTTAAACAGTTTATGTGAAGTCCAAGTTAAGTGCTTTTAGTTAGTTTAGGGAAGAAATGCTGGGGCATTGGTTCACTTTTAATCATGATTGAGGTGCTATTAAATATTTTAGAATTCTGAAGACATTTAAGAACTTTTAGGAAGACTTTTTTACATATTTGTGTGCAAAAATATGTAAAATGTTTTAAGTATGGCAACTTGCAGTTGCCTTACTTAAGATTGAATGAATTTTGAAAACTCGTTTAATTGTGTCTTTTTAGACCCCATGGAGAATAAATGGAACAGAGACAGAATTTTGGGAAAACACTTGAAATCTCTGGAAAATATGGCTCAGAAGAATGGTTTGCCTCCAGAAGAAATGGGCATTCTATTAAATGTGGTACTCAGTGGCAAATTTGGTATGTCAAGGGTGTACATTTATCATCAATTTGTTATTAGATTTGTCTTCCTCTTACTGAATTAGATTGTTCATCGGAATTAGTCACAGTTCTTTATTTTTACGTTCTCATTAAATCAACCTAGTACGAAGATAAAAATGGACATTTCTTATGTTCAAACTGCCTTTTTGGTCAAAAGTTTCCCTGAGCACCAGAGATATAATATGGAGTTAAACTTGATTTATACACGGCCAACCCCAGTTCAATTCCTGGCACCAGATATAATTCCCTGAGCACTGCCAGGAGTGGTTTCTGAGCTCAGAACCAGGAGTAAACTCTGAGCATAGCTGGGTGTGGCCCAAAAAAACAAAAAATGACCTGTGAATATGCTTAAAATGGGTAGTTACTATATATTTTTATAAATGAAATGTGTAGACTCTTGACAACAAGTACATGAAAGTTATTTTCAGTGTTCCTCTTAAACACTGTAGATAAGTATGTAAGTGATAGGCACCTAAAGCAATCACTTGACTTATTTCATTGCCTTTAGACTCACTCTTCTATGACAAGTCCATATATATGCTGTCTCCATTCCAGTGTCCTTAAAAGAGAAGATGCCTCTTTCCATTTTCTTTTGTAAAATGTCATTATTTTTTGATAGGGGTTACACGCTGTGGTGTTGGGGAAGGGTCCCGGTGTAGGCCTAATGATTTGGTTCTGGAGTCACCAGGAATGATGACAACACTGCATGTAGCCTATGGTACTGAGAGGCTGTGCTGTACAAGGAACTGGGCTCACCTCACCTGCTAGTCATATACTATTACTTGAGCTATCTCTCCAGCCCAAGTTTCCCTTCCTTTCCTGTTCTGAGGTTATGTAGAATAGGACTCCTTAGGCTTTTTCCACTCTTGACCCCTTTTCTCTTGAGAATTCATTTTGGATTCATTTCACTGTTTATTTTATCTTACTGTTTGGTTTGGGGGCCACACCTGGTGATTCTCAGGGGTTACTCCTGGCATTGCATTCAGGAATTACTGAGGAGACCATATGGGATGCCAGGGATCAAACCTAGGTCAGCCGTCAAGTCAAGTGCTGCACCCACTGTATTATGTCTTCTTCCCCTCACAGTTGATTTTAAATTAATTTTTGTCATAGCATGCTCAGAGACCTTTGTTGCCAAATTTTTGTGACCCTTACATTCAGTTACATGACCCATGGGTAAACAACCCACACATGGTTTAAGAAGGTAGAATTAGAGAGAGAGGGAGAGAAAGAGTGAGTGAGTGAGTGAGAGAGTGAGAGAGAGAGAGAAAGAGAGAAAGAACACGTGTGTATGTATGTGTGTGTAGGGGAAAGTGAATTTTTTAAATTATCATTTTTTAAATTTTATTTTGTTTTCCCCTTACACATTATATAAACACTGCGGTATACAAAATTGTTCATAATGATTTGCTACAGGCATTCAATATTCCAACACCAATCCTATCATCGTTATACCTTCCCTCCACCATTCTCTCCAATTTTCCCAATCAACCCTAAGCCTGCCCTCATAGCAAGCCTGGTGAACTGTTTAGAAAAAGCATGTGACCAGTATTCTTTTTCACTTCAGAATAATCTTTTAGTCTCATTCAGATTCATACATGGAAGGAGTTTTGTTTTTCATTTTGATTTTGGAACAAACATGGCTGTGTTCAGGGCTTGCTCCTGTCTCTGTGCTCAGGGATCACTCCTGGTATGGCCAGAAGACCATATGGAGTGCTGGGGATGGTGCACAAGGCAAGTGCCGTGCCTGCTGTACTATCAGGCTGCACATACTTGAAGGGGATTTTAGATTTCCGAAATCTTTATAGAAGTGAGGAAAACTGAAACTCAGAATGGGCACAGAGACTTGTTGAATGTCAAATCTAAAACTAGGGAACTCAGATTTCCTAACTCTACTTTCAGTGTTTGTACTGTACACTGCTACCGAGTTTTCTACTTTTTAATAGGAAAGTTTTGAACAGCTGTTTTGTTAAAATATTTTTCTTTTCCCTTTCTTCGTTGCTATTATTGCAGTGACTGGGGTTGAACTTATGCCCAATTGTGGTGCTTGTACCCTTTGTTGTTGTGCTTGCTGATAGTAACACATCTGGTCATCACACATTTTACCACAATGGTACCAGGGACCACCTGCATAGTGCTTGCTCACAAGCTTGATGGGTGTAGCACTGTTAAGCTGAAGTGCTGGGGTGCATTCTTGTTGTAGTGCTCACTGGGATTGATATACTAGTTCATGTGCTTGCCAGGCATCATACTGCTGTCCATGTTACTCATATATTTTGTTATGGGATTCACAATCATTAGTTATGGCGGTTATACACACCTGGTTGTGGTAGTTTGAAGATTGTGAATTCATTTTTCATTGTTTTGTTTTATTTAGTGCTGGAGTGATAGCACACAGGTAGGGCGTTTGCCTTGCATGCGGCCGACATGGCCAACCCGAGTTTGATTCCTCCACCCCTCTCAGAGAGCCCACCAAGCTACTGAGAGTATGTTACCTATATGGCAAAGCCTAGCAAGCTACCCATGATGCCAAACACAGTAACAACAAGTCTCATAATGGAGACGTTACTGGGCCCGCTCGAGCAAATCAATGAACAACGGGAGGAACAGTGCTACAGTGCTACAGTGTTTTATTTAATTATTATGTTTTGGCCTTGGAACCACACCTGGTGGTGTTCACAGGACCATGTTGGATGCCAGAGATTGAATCTGGGTTGCCACATGCAAGGCCCTCCCTACTCTTCAAGACCTGAAGGTTATTTTTGCTGGTTTTTGTTTCGGTTATATTTTTTGCTTTTTGGGTCACACCTGGTGGTGTTCCAGGGTTACTCCTGGCTCTGCACTCAGGAATTACTCCTGGTGGTGCTCAGGGGACCATATTGGATGCCAGGGATTGAACCCTGGTCATCCAGGTGTAAAGCAAATGCCCTACCCACTGTACTATCACCTGGCCCCTATTTTTGCTGCTTTTTGCCAGTTCGTTTGCTTTGGTTATTTATATTCCATATATTTCCCAACTTTACTTAACGGCCACGTCAAGTTTTGTCCATGTTGTTGGAAAAGCACAATTTCATTTTTTAATGGCAGAGTAGTAATCGATTGAGCATATTTACCACAGCTTAGTTTGACTCCAAGTTTTGACTGATGTAATAGTGCTACTACAGAGGACAAATATCTTTTCAAATAGTGTTTTTGTATCCTTCAGATAATTGTCTAGGCATGATATTGCTGTATCATATTTTTTTTCATTTTAATAATTTTTTGGTTTGGTTTAGATTTGGGGACTATAACTACAATGCTTGGGGATCACTCCCTGAAGTGCTTAGGTGACCATGGTGATAGGAATAAAATCTGGGCCTTCCTTATACAAAGCATGTGCTCTAACCCTTTGAATTATCAATGTGACCTTCATTTTTTTAATTTTTAGAGAATCTTCATACTGTTTTCCATATAGGCTGTGCTAATTTAGATACTACCAACAGTGTACAAGTCTTTTCCTCCACAACCCTGCTAACACTTTTTGTTTCCAGTCTTATATTGTAGTTTTGAGGTGGTATCTCATTGTAGTTTTGGTTTGCATTTCCCTAATAATAAGTGCTATTGAGCATATTTTCATGATTCTGTCTTCAGAGAAGTGTCCATTCAGGTCTTTTGCCCATGTTTTGATTGGGCTATTTTTCCTTTGTTGTTAAGTTTGTATGCATTCTTTGTATATTTGAGATGTCAAATCCTTCTCAGGTATCACGATCACGACCATCCTGTTCATCGATTGCCTCGAGCAGGCCCCAGTAACGTCTCCTTCATCCTAGCCCTGAGATTTTAAAAAGTGCCATATTCAAGGCTCTTTCAGGATTAGGAGAATGAGACCCATCATTGTTACTGGTATTTGGCATGTTGGGTACGCCACGGGTAGTTTGCCAGACTCTGCCGTGTGGGCAGGTTACATTCAGTAGCCTGCCAGATTGTCCAAAGTAAGAATGAGATAATAAGATGTCTTCTGGGAGCTGAGTTTTATAGTCTCTGGGTCTTGGCCATTGATAGGATTACATGGCGCCAGGGGGCCAGTTGGTGGGTGTGATCCCGCCTACTGGAAGATGGAGGATCTGGGTGGAGGATGCTCAGCCCCGATCTGAGTAGGCTTGGAGATCTCAGCCCCGGGACCTGCATGCCTTTGTTCCTCTGTCAGTACCTTCATGCGTGTGGAGAGTGGTCTCAGCATGGTTGTGGCTGGTTCTGGAGGTTTTCGGCTGCCGGAACTCTGCTCGGGGCAGGGAGGGAAACTCAACCCGCCCCCCTCCACGGGGCCCCAGCGAGGACAGCCAGGCATGGGGGCAGGAGACTCTGCCTTCTCAGGTATATATCTGCAGATACCTCTTCCCAACCTGTCGTTTTTTGTTTGGTTTTGTGCACTCTTGTGGTAGATGCCCAAGACATGGAATTGCTGAATTTTATAGAACTTTAATTCTTATTTTTTTGACATCTCCAGCGATGTTTTTTATTTTATTTAATTAATTTATTTATTGCTTTTTGGGTACCACCTGGCGATACACAGAGGTTACTCCTGACTTTGCACTCAGGAATTTCTCCTGGTGGTGCTTGGGGGACCACATGGGATGCAGGGAGTTGAACCTGGGTTGGCTGTGTGCAAGGCAAACATCCTACCCTCTGTACTATTGTTCTGGTCTCACCCCTCATGCTGTTTTTAGGAAACTCCAATACTGTTTTCCACTGAAGCTGAACTAGACAATATTCCCACCAATAGTGGATGTGGGTTTCTTCCCTCCCTCACTGCCCAGCACTGATTTTTTCTGTTCAGTTTGGTGTGCCTGTCTCACTGGTGTGAGGTGATTACCTCATTGGTATTGTTGTGTTTGGTTTTGGTTTTCGGACCACACACAGCAGTGTTCAGTGATTACTCCTAGCTTTACATTCATGGATCACTCCTGGTATTTTCAGGAGTCCATATGGGGTGCCACGGC